TATGTTTGGAAACAAATGTATTGTGATGATGTTTTATCCAAACATTGGTTACCAGGTTGAGACCATCAACTCACTGTACTTGAGAAGATGGTTAAATCAGCGACGGTTGCCCAGATTTAATCTCAAGGTCTTCGTATCGTGCCAACTCAGACCCCTGACCTCCGCATCACCCGGCCAACTTAAGGGCAAAACTGGATTTGAAAGGGTACATACATCTAAATGTGCAAATGTGCATTTTCTGGGATGTACTCACGTGGTCAGAAACCCATGCAAACACTGGTCAATTAATAGTGAACCTGTTCTTTCGTCAACATACAAACACATGCAGTTTCCATTTAAATACAGAACATTTTTAACTAGGCTTCAAAGAAAGGAAGGCATAGGAACGCTGGAAAGTCTTGTGGTACTAGTCAAAAGGAGAACACGTGATAATATATAATCAAGTGTATTCTGGAAATTCTAGAGCAGATTCAGGAGGAGTGAAGAATCGTTAGATTAGCCAGGCATGGCAAACAATGTGACGTGGACATATTCTCAGAGGTGGAAGCTTGATGAAGGAAGTTATAGAAGGAAGGATGCTGGGGAAAGAAGCCAAGAGGCAGACAAAGAAAGATAATTTCTGCTTGATGGCTTGAAGGAAGGGGCCCATTCAGTGGAGTGAATAAGAATGCTCAAGATTAGGCAGGATGGCGGGGGTTTGAGCCAAGGACTTGCCGTTTGGCAGAGGACGAAAGAAGAAGTGAAACACTATTGTTTTCTTATACTCGTGTGGTTGTACCACCTGTAATCCAGTGACATGGAGGTGGGGTTGGTGGATCATGCAGACGTTGAGCCAGTGTATTTGTGAGACATCCATGTGGAGGGGAGCGGTAGTGTAGTGGTTAGCGAGCTGCGCTATGAACACGGCGACCCGAGTTCGATTCCTGCTCACGACCAACAGAGTGGCGATTATCTGAACTTCTCCTGGGGAGACAAAGGCGGCCGGGCGTGGTGTTGGCCATCCAACCTCTCGTGTGCCATGCCGGCCTTTATAGGCGTTCGCTAACAGCACTTGCCCCAACAGTCTGTTAAGGCTAGGCGGGGGATGTTTGTCTTTGTGCAGGGTAGTGAGTATAGTACATAAAGTAGGTTGTTGACTTATCCACATAGAGTTTGAGATTTATCCATCTGGTTTTGATCAGGGTTTCTTTAAGCACTCCGTTTTACTTCTACATCTAAAGCACACTTCAGGAAATGGGCCAAACACTTCAAACATCTTAACACCTGATTTAAAGCTTTCGTGACTGCAGTAATTCATATTCTTAGTTTTTTCGGTAAAGTCACGTTGAAGAGAAACAACAAAATAACAAAATATATATAAAACAATAAAAAATTCTCACGACGTTTCGACCATAACTCAAACGGTCATCATCACCTGATGATATTTTGTTATTTCTTTTGTTGTTTCTCTTCAACGTGACTTTACCGAAAAAACTAAGAATATATCTTAACACCTGTTTTATTGCCAGAAAGGAGAATGCCTCGTCTATTTTTGTTTCATCGCTTAAAGCAGGAACTCGGTGGTATTCTCATGAGCTGATTAAGAAGAAGTGTTATTCATCAAGCCCACAAAAGGGAGTTGCTCTGTCTGTAGCCAATGCTCCAGTGTGAGCAGGTTGGCAAGGGCATGATGACAGTCGCTCCCCTCTGGATTTTAGAGGCTGTTTAGTTTAATGTGGGTATAGCAGTTGTGCAGTGGTTAACGGGCTGCACTATGTACTGAGCGACCCAAGTTTGATTCCCGGCCATGGCTAACATCAGTAGCAAGTGATATCAAAACGAATTTAAACTAAACTATGTTTTTTTTTTTACTAGGTAAGGCCCACTGAGCTATATTGCTCTGAAATCTTGACTTCAAGCTTTCGTGACTGCAGGAATTCATATTCTTTGGGTCTTTCGATAAAAGTCACATAGAAAGGTTCAAATTAATGAAAATCAACAAAAAACTGCTTGTGTTGTGATCGAAACATCGTAGTTTTTTTGTTTATTTAATTTTTTATTAATTTGATCCTACGTGACTTTACCGAAAGACCCAAAGAATATATAGCCACAATTGATAGCTCAACGAAGTGGCGAATCATGTGGAAATTTATATCAACTAAATGCTCCAAACGGATGTTTCTAAATTTGGAGGGTTAAACAGGAATACCCAGAGAAAAATCCACACGACCACGGGGAGAGAGACATGCAAACTCAGAACTTGCGCTGCCTGTCCTGGCCTTCACCAACCTCTCCTGACCAGCGTGGTGAAGTATGGTATATATTTATAAAAACAATCACAATGACCAACATCATGGCAGAGGACAGCCATCCGTGGGTGGATTGAAAATGTTTGGAATGTATACATGCAAAGAATAAGAATCACAGAGTAGACATTCTGTGTGTGCACAACATGCTCATTCCAACCTCTGAGTAATTCGCCCCCCCAAATGGAGGCCAATTAAAGTTGCCCGGGTGCACTACCCTACAACAGTAGAGGTGGGGTGTGGGGATGTTACCGAAACAAAATCTTAATTTTAAAATAAATAACATAAACACGATGTCCGGATCAGTCATTTCCCCCCCTTCTTCCCTCGCTGGGAGCAACGATTATCAGATTTTTGTTTCGGTGGTTCGATGTCAGGGCTGGTCCCACTCACCGGCCCCCATTCTCTCGCCGCGATTAATTCTGCGTTCAGCAATAAAACGGGGACCACGTGGCCTCATATTCCAATTTCTTCCCTTGTAGCTTATGGCTGAGGTGTTCTATCCCTGCCAAGCCAATGGAATGTATTATTCAAGTATTTTGTTTATTTGTGAGACGTAAATGCGATGTGTAGTATGTGAACTGCTCACGTCTGCAAATGGGTTGTCTGCATATTTGAGCTTGTGAGCAAGAGCCTTTGGCTGCATGTCCACGTAGAAACATGCACAAAATGAATAATTCCTAAGTCAACAAGTGGATGTTTACACTCGCTGCCAAAATATATGTACAAAAAAATTGCACCACATTTGCCATGAGCCCTGCTTTATAATAGAAACATATAGTTGATTGACGTTTCAGGCAGTGACTGACCTCTGCTCTGAAGAAGGGTAATTGCCAAAAGCATCTTCGAAATACAGTGTACATATTGTGTGAGGTTTGTCTGCACATAACTGACAATGATGTCCCTGCATGTTTCCCTTGCTGTACAGCATTTGCATGGTTTCCATGTGTCCAAATTCTTCGGTGCATTTACGTGGTCTATCCTCTCTGTCAACCCACTGCTAGATGAGGGCCTTCCCGACACTGTGCGGGTTGCGGGGAGTTTTCTGAATATACTTCAGTTTTAAAGGGACATAGACAAACACCCCATATCCTGTTTGTGTGATATTGTGTGCGTGCTGATTTAGTTGTTGCTGGAAGCTTCAACAATTTATTACTGCAATTTTTTTTGACAGCTTGACATTTGGAAACAAGATAGTCAAGGAGATAAACACACACAAGACAACTTCAAATTTGCAGCAAGTGGTAGAAACAACGAACAAATGCATTGACATTATCCGATTGCCAGCAGCATTTCTGAGTTTATAATAAAGATTGGGTTGTTTTAATGTATACTACGTATCATGGGAGCGGTAATGTGGCGATTAGCGCACTGTGCTCTGAACCCAGTGGCCTGATTTCGATTCCTGTTTGCACCCAAAGTCAGTAGCCATTATCAGAACTTGTTCTGGGCCTTTCCTAGGTTGGCTCAGCCTTAAGTTATTTCCTGATGGCCACACCACCTCCTCATGCCATGTGTCGGCCTTCATAAGGTGCTCACTGACAGAACTTGCCGCAACAGCTTGTATAGGCCACACAGGACATCTTTGTTTTTGTGTACATAGCACTAATAACATTTTATGGTTTTATTTGAAAACTGTGCCCTGTTTGAGTCAAGTGCTGCATTTGTCTGTGCTGAATTTTAATTAGCATCGTTTGTTGGCAGTAAAAAGATGTTGCCTCAAGGGTAAAAGGAACACAGTGGAAATGGGTGGCTTGAACATGTGTTTCTTTCTCGTTCCTTTTATTAAAATGAGTAAATAACATCAACTGTTCGACCAAATAAAAAAACGTTCCTTCTTACAAAGAATAGAAATCATACCTCTTTAAATTGGGTTGGTGAAATACATTATTTGTTGAGAATTCCTGAAATACAACTAGTTTTCACATACATGTACGTATTCAATGTGCGATGAGCCATTCAAATTAGAAAATGTTAAAGCATTTAGGACAGTACTATACTGTACATGCATTTCACGCTCAGTGGCTCACTTGTCAAATATTCCCAAAGTACTAAATGTTGCATGTTGAGAGTAGAAGTAGAGAAAGAGAGAGAGATATCTGCATGTAGAATAAAGCCGATCCTATTCACAAAGTTATCCGCGAGTTTACTCCCAATTATCCAGTGAATAATTGTGGATAATAGGGAGAATAGGATCTGAAATAATTTTACTTTTCAGGGACCCTACGAATTTTACGAATAATAGGAGTTGTGTATATCTAAGGCGGCGGATGAAAGGAGCTCTCCCGCATCGTATAAATTCAGTACTTTTATTTGCATATAGAAATCGTAAAACAACATTTTACAAAAGCAATTAACAAAATAAAAAAACAATTAGTCCATATAAATGCACTTAGATGTGATTTCTTTTTGTATTAAATCCAGTAGTCAGGGTGATAAAAAAATGGATTGTGAAAATAATCATGTTACATTCCTTAAATAACTTAACTTGCATGTGCATTTTGAGTGGCGTTTAAAATAATCGTGACGTCATAATGTTTTATATTTTTTTAATTTTATCTTTGGACATATGCTTATTATCTCTACTACGCCTCATTGCCATGATTGTGCTCCTTGCCATGTCTGTTTGCAGTGGTTCCCCACTGCGCCATGAGTGCCAAATCGGTCCTCAACAAGGAGGTGTTCGCCCCCAACGACGAGAGGATGCTCGTGGCCGTGCAAGTCAGGCGCCGGACACGAAAGCGGATTCCCTTTCTGGCCACAGGGGGCCAGGGAGAGTACACCACCTACATCTGCCTTTCGGGTACGACGCACATGTGTGTATGTTTAACTTCTTTCGCACTTTGCTTTAGTGTGCGGGGGAAGGGCAACAAACTAAACAGAAAAAAAGCAGTTCTAAAGAAATGAGTTTTTAAGCTATATTTAAAAGTGCATGGCTCCAGTGCCTTCCAAATATCGAAAGGAAGAGCGTTCCAGATGGCCGCAGAAGCGGATTTGAAATTGCGTGATGTAGTGACCATAATTGTTCAGTGGCTAGAATTATAATGGCTACAAATTATATGTGGACATTATAATTATATTGCACGTTTACATTTTAAGCAGATTGAGCGAAACTGAATTTATATGTGACAGAGCAAGACAGACAAAAACAGTTTGGATTGAACCATGACCCTGAAATTCTGATTTAGGAGAATTAATGTAATTGTGCCTGTTTTGGTGATGGAGGGAAGAGTGGGTGAATTGTTGCAAGCCTAATATTGCAAAGGAGTTGGTATTGAATCATTAGATCACATCACTGGGTATGAAACTTACTCAGAAAGGAATATATAAATGTAACCAGGGGCGGAGCCACAGGGGGGGCTGGGGGGGGCTCAACCATAGGGGGGGGCTTGGGGGGGCCCCCAGCCCCCCCTGAAATTTTGGAAAAGTCGGTAATCGGGATAACCGGATATCCGGCTGCTGCAAAATGCTGGCTGCCACCTCGTGCTGCCCTGCAGGCTGCTTGAGTGGCAGCCTTTCGAACTTATCGGACTTATTAGCCACATCAGCGGCTTCGACCTATTAATAAACTCCGCGTTCAAATCCAATGAAATTAGTTTTATACATTTGTGGCGCCCATTGGAAAACATAAACACTGGATAACTCAGAATATTGAAGTCAGCCCCCCCCCCAAAGTCAAAATCCTGGCTCCGCCCCTGAATGTAACCACAGTCAAGAGGCTAAAATAGAGGAAACGATAACAATGATGCCAAATATTTACCGTCAATTATTTACCCAGAAAAGCCTCCTTGAGTCCTCACTCATTTTAAAAAAGGGTCCTGCATTGGGATGTTTGACTAATTCAATTCATGAGTGTTTGGCTTTATGTGGGAGGAAACCGAATTATCTGCAGAAAAACCTAAGCGTAACAAGGGATAATTAACGCTCATAGCTGCCATTTGCTGGCCACCTCCCAGGCCCGTTCTTACAACCTGACAACCTCTGGTGGTCTTTAACCCAAGTGCCAACCAGGCTCAAATTTGCCACTTGGCTTCTGAGATCTAGTGATGCGATCGAGGCACATTTGGTTTGATTTGGTGATGGGAAGGGAAAATCCCACAAAACCACTTTGTGCATGTGTGCAACGGGGTAAGGAATACCTCCTCCAACACCAAGGAGTTGAACAAACTCTCCAACACTACCTACACACTCGCCGCCCACCTTCTAAAGCACCTACTGTCCATCATCACCTCGATGTTAGTAGGCGGATGAGGGCATCTCCATTTAGGAACACATTGTACCCGGCAATTGCTTTAAAAAAATATATATATTCTTGTTAGTCTTCAGAAGTCTTAAAAAAAAAGTGCAAGGATCCTGTGACAATTATTAAACTGCGCGTGACATTTCGAAATAAGCTGTCGACCTCAAAGGGAAAGTTAAATGGCAGAAAGCCTCTGAGCTGGGGGGAAGGTGATTTTATTGCCTGATACATGCTGTGCTTGTGCTCCTGTCAAAAAAGCATGCAGCAGACAGAGATCAGTCCCATTGGATTTTGTTAGATTTACATGAAATGTTTTAATCTGGATGACTAACTCCTCCTTTTCCTCCTCCTCTCACTGTACATCATCGAGAATTTGATGGACAACTTGGTGAGCTCAGTGGGCATTAACCGGTAAAATAAAATTGTTTAGTTTTGATTGAGAATGTCACCTTAATTGCTGTCTGTGGCGCAATTGCATTGATTGATGCTTGAGTTTGACAATAATGAAGTATGTTGTTAAAGCAAGGCGAACTTACACGCGTGTAAGTATTTCATAGGAAGAAAATGTATCCCAGTGTGGATTCTGGGATTTGGGCTGCGTTTCGAGGATTTCTTCTCTCCATCTGGATGAAAAGCAGTTGTGAAAACTGAAGTTTTGGAGTAAATGTGTTAAGGAGATCAATTAAATGAGCTTTTAAGAGTTTAATCTGAGCTTATTATATATACTAGGTATTTTTGTCAGTTTTATAAATCTAGATTCAATATATAGATTTGTCTGCCAAGGGATTGGCAATGGTAATACAATTGTTCATGCTTTATATAGGAAAGTGGAACCAAACTGGGAAATGCACAAAGAAGGATGGAGAGACACACGGTTGGAATTGCATTGAGAGATAAAGAGAAACATATGGGTTATAGAACATCCGCAGGTTTATAGACATTATTCAAACTATTCTTGGTTCTTTCGGTAAAGTCAAGTAAGCAAGAAAAATGTGGTTTTCACACCTGATAATGATTGCTTGTGTTGCAGTCGAAACGTCATGAGAATTTTATTGTCTTATATTTGTATTATTTTATTGTTTCCCTTCTACGTGGTGACTTTACCGAAAGAACCAAGAATATGAATCCCTGCAGTCACGAAAGCTTTAAATCAAAATTATTCAAACTGTTAAGAAATGTATGTGGGCTTGCATAGATCATATTATTTTTTGTTGTTGACCAAGTTTCTGAACCATATGTCAAAGCATGCAGCACGCACTGATTAAAAAAAAAAACTCTTCTTGAGGCACATTTGCATGTTATTTTCACATAACTCCGTAATAAGTATTTATTGTACTCTTGCATATGGCAGCAATATGTTGAGGAGCTAGATGCCAACGCCGAGGACTGCTGGCCACGACGAGAATGCTTCAGCAGAGAGTTCGTGTAGTTTTGCCATTCTTCCTTCACCAGAGCGGACATTGCAGTGGTTTCCTGAATGGTCCATCGTTTGCATGCTAATCTAAAAACACCCATTCATACACATGTGATCCGACGCATGTATCGTGAGCTTAACAATCGATATTAATGAATCGATGTATCGTTACACCCCTGTTATGTTGTCTACTTAACGTGTAATGCAGAGAAGCTGTGGCAGGGGCGGGGGTGGGGGGGGTATCCTATAATAATGGGTTCACTGCCCTTGGGAAGCACATTGGTTCACACACAGTCCGTATGAACTCACACTGACCAGCGTGGTGAAGTATGGCCGACGACTCCCACAACCGTCACGGCTGTGGACATATTGGAAGTCCTCAAGTATAAATACGTTTTCTGTGGAGACCGACAACATCGTAGTAGATTGACAAAGGAGTGTAAATCACAGTGCCTACGCAAAAATGATGTTAAGGTTTTCCCAAAAGAAGCTAAATCCGGGCGAGAAAGGAGCCGAGAAATTTTTCCATTCAGATTCTCACACTTTTGTTTTTGTGCGCCCGCTCTGTCTTCATATTCCCCATGGCTCCACATGTGTTCCATTCTCTTCCCAGTGCCAGATCCGTCACCGCGCTCTTTCCTGCCATGAGATTTGTTGTGATTCCATTTGTTGCGACAACAGTGAAGTGTAGTGGGTGCCTGAAGGAGGTGACTTGATATTATTATTATTTCCAAGGGCCCCATTCAAATGTCCATTATGTGCCACTTCCTGCTTCTGTTCTCTGCACCAGCGTCAGGTCTGTGGTGGCGGCTGCTTGTAAAAGTTGGCGATCGTGACGGAGTGCACGCACGCAAGTGTGCAGAGCTAAGGCTCTCTAAGGCATTACAGTTACAGTATTCCTCCCCCCCCCCCCCCCCGTTATTTTTGGAGGGATATTTCCCAGGGATGCTCGTGAATAGCAAATTTCGCGGAAAATGCTATTCGCCCGCAAATGTTGTACACGCAACGTCTGCGCATGCTTCTAAATCTTCGAAAAGTTATCTCTCTCTGTCTCTCTCCGCTCTTCATCGCATCACTATCTCTCTCATCACTTTATCTCATCACTTTCTCGGATCACATTCTCTCTAATGACTTCATCTCTCATCACTTTATCTCAACGCTTTCTCCCTCATCACATTGTGCCATCACATTCTCGCATTACATTCTCCCTCATGCTTCTAAATCTTCAAAAAGTTATCTCTCTCTGTCTCTCTCCGCTCTTCATCGCATCACTATCTCTCTCATCACTTTATCTCATCACTTTCTCGGATCACAGTCTCTCTAATGACTTCATCTCTCATCACTTTATCTCAACGCTTTCTCCCTCATCACATTGTGCCATCACATTCTCGCATTAGATTCTCCCTCATCACTTCATCTCGTCGCTTTCTTTCTCTTTCTGTTGATGCAGTCGTGTAGAGTTGCAGATGCGATTCGTCGATAGCCAAAATCGTGGAGAGCAAGTTCGTGTATAACGAGGGAATACCGTGGCCTGTGTGATTAATAACCACATGCATTGCAAGTTGATTTTGTTGAAATAGGTGAGAACTCAAGAGACTGGGGCAGTGTCATTTGAAAAAAATTCTAAAAGCAAAAACAAATAAAACGGAGTACAGACAATTAAATAAAGCAATCAGGACAAAAACCACTGCATTGCATTAGGGGAATCGAAAATGTTGCAAACATGAATCAACTTTGAATCATAGCTAAATATTAAATTCCCTGCAGCACAAACACGTGTATGTGAATTAAAAATAAGGAAAATCATCCCCTTAAAAGCTGTTATTTACGAACGAATACATCTATATTCATATTCCCACATACCCACAATAGTTTTATGTATTATACATAAGGGTGTAACAATGCAATAATAATAATATGTACTGTTAATTGAACGATACGTGTTCGAATATTATATTTTTGATTCCTAAACGTTGCACTGTAACTTGTTCACATGGGCACTCCACCCACTTGTGGCCAATACATTCACCACTATTTACAAAATAAAAATAATCTAATCAATGCCCCAAATGACAACAGTTCATTGAATCACTCCAGGGTAAAGTAATAAACCTCAAGTTTAACTTTTATTCCATCTCTTTACAGGGGT